TATACTTATTCAATTCCAGAACATTATTTGCTCATGATTTTATTTATTGTTGACTTGATTGTACATGTTTATCTAGTTTCTTTATAATCTCAAAATGAGTAATTAAAAATTCAACAAACTTATTTTTCTATGCTTTTACTTGGATATAACGTCATTTTCATATGTAGTTGTAATTGTAACATAGATACAGTTTTGTACTTTTTTATTAGCATATCAAATTATTTAGTTTAATTGCAGTACCTTCATAATTTTAACTTTTTTTTGTGGCACTGGGAATTATGCTTAATAAAGCCCTTTACATGTTAGGTAAGTTCTCTGCCCCTGAACTACGCCTCATAATACGCCTCATAATTTAAAATTTTGGTAACTATTTTAGTAACTAAAGGATAGTCTATTGAATTAACTATTCCACAATTTGACAGTTTTCTTATGGGACAGTTCAGCAGTTTTTAGGTTTCTTTTTGTATAAATAATACTGTAGGGAACAGTATCATATATTGAACACTTTGTTCTTTTTTATGCTTATTTGTATTTATTTATTTGTGTGTGTGTGTGTGTGTGTGTGTGGCCAGCTCAGCCCACCAGGGGGCGGGGCTGGCTGGCTTGTGGTGCTGGGGGATTGAACCGTGGTCCCTGTGCTTTGCTCAGCTTGTTCTAAGTAGGTGCTTTAGACCACTGAGCCATCTCACCAGTCCCTAAACATCTTTAAAAGAGAAAGAAAAAGACAATAAAAACATTGATACACAATTTCAAAACAATAGGAAATTGTAGATGGTTATTATATTTCATATTGTTATCTTCACTGTAGTTGTTCAGTTTATAAGATATAGACATACATCAAATAGCTCAGTGGATTAAAGCACCTGCAAGCCGGTACAGCGGCTGGGGGTTTGATCCCAGCGCCTGTCGTGCCAGTCCCGCCCCTGGGGCGAACTGAGATGGTGGTTGAAACTGGGCTTGGTGGTGTGCCCCTGTAATCCCAGCACTTGGGAGGCTATAAACAGGAGAATCACTATGAGTCTGATCTAGTAGTGAGACCCTGAACACCCTGTAGCCCCTTCCCTAGAATACAGAAAGAAAAAAAAAGATATAAACATATAAAACTGATTAAACAATTTAAGCATAAAACTATTCCTTTCAGTGAACTAGTAGATATTACTAGTGTAATTATCTGAGCTATTTTGTATATACATACATATATATTTTCCCCCCATCCCAGTTTTTTCCTTTTCAGCAATTTCTTTTTTTTTTTTTTTTTCCACAATGTCTATTGTATATTTTGGATCTTAGTTACGTTTTCAGTTTCTTACACTAGGGAAACAGTACAATGTTTAGTTGTGAGTCTGATTTATTTTGCTTAGGAATAGGATCTCTAGTTACATCATTTACCTATAAAAGCTTCAAATTTATCTTTCTTTATAGGTGAGTAGTACTCTATTGTATAAAAATACCACATCTTTTTTTTTATCTGTTCCTCTGTTGATGAGCGTTTGGGTTGTTTCCAAGACTTAGCTATTATAAATTGTGCTGCTATAAAACATGGGTGCACATTTGTCACAGTGATATGATGTTTTTAATTCTGGGAAGATACCCAGAAGGGATTAGTTGGGTCAGATGTGACCTCTAATCCTAGTTTTATGAGGCATCACCACACAGATTTCTACAGTTGTACCAGTCTGTACTCCCACCAACAGTGGAAAAGGGTTCCTTTTTCCTGACAGCATCTACAGCTTTTGTTATTAGTTGATTTCTTCCTTTTTTTATTAATATATTTACTTTGTTAAAATTCCAAGGCAAAAATGCAAGAGAATTATAAAAGGAGAAGGCCCCAAAATGCAGGATTGAGTAGTTTAAGTAGGTCCCCATCATTATGGTACAAATAGCAAACGTGTTTTACTTGCCGTGAATCTGTGCTTGATATGGCTTGCCGTGCCACGCTGCCACCACCACCATTCCTCTGTCCTCCCACCATTGACCAGTTTTGTTCTCGTCCACTGTGGTTGCTAGCCGCTCCCAGATTTCTTTATGATAGCCATTCTTTCTGGGGTGAGAAAGATTCTCAGTGTTGTTTTAATTTGCATTTCATAAATGACTAAAAATGTTGAACATTTTTTCATACATTTGCAGTTTGTATTTCTTCATCAGTATGCATGTTAGATATCATTTTTGGATTTGGTCTTTGAATTTGGGAGGCTTGATATTTTTCAATGCTTTTTTTTTCTTTTCCCTTTATCAAGTCCTTTATTATATCTCCAAGGCTTGCCAAAGTTCTAACAGTTTCAGCATTGCTCAAAAGTTAAAGTCAAATTTGCAGGGGCTGGGGAGATAGCTCAGTAGAATAAGCGCTTGCCTGGCAAGTGCAAGGGTCTGAGTTCAATCCCTGGTTCTGCAAACAAAAAAAAAAAAGTCAAATTTGTGTTCTGAGATTTTAGACAAACTTAGCTCAAAACCCTTGTACAAATGAAAAGAGTTAAACACTTCCAACATTCCATGACACAAGATAAACTTATAATTCCAAAAGGTACAGGTAGGGGGATACCAAGAAATGGAACAAAGCAAGCCCAAAATCCAACAGGAAGATATTATATCCCATAGTTCCATGTCTAGTATCCCTGGTAATCTGTAGAAAGCTGTGAACCACAAAGAGCTTTGGTGGCTCCATCCCTGTGGCACATGTGGCGATAGTATGTCCAATGGCTTCCTTTTGACTGTGTTTGCTCACTCCTTGGTGCTTTTCAGTTCTTTATATGTTTTAAATAGAAGTCCTTTGTCTAAGGGATAGTTGACTCAAATTTTTTTCTCATTCTCTGCATTTTCTTTTCTTTTTTTTTTTTTTTAAAGCAGGACTGGTCATTTTCTTTTTTTTGGTAACTTTTAAAAAAAAATTTGTGTGTGTGTGTGTGTGTGTGTGTGTGTCCAGCTCAGTCCACCAGGGGGCGGGGCTGGCTGGCATGTGGTGCTGGGGGATTGAACCGCGGTCCCTGTGCTTTGCTAAGCTTGTTCTAAGTAGGTGCTTTAGACCACTGAGCCATCTCTCCAGCCCCTCGCTGCATTTTCTTTTCATTCTGTTGATGCTTTCTTTTGATGTACAGAACCTTTTTATCTTTATTTTTCTGGGTACCAGGCATTGAACTCAGAACCTTGTGCTTGCCAGGTAGGTGCTGTGCTACTGAGAAGAGATTCCAGCTGTTGAGTCTTTGAACTGTTTGCTGTGCTGTTGGGTTTTTGTTCATGAACACTCTCTGTGTACCCCTATGTCTTCAAGATTTCTACCTACTTTCTCTTCCAGTAGATTTAGTGTTTGTGTTTTAATATTTAGATCTTTGATCCATTTTGACTTTATTTGCCTGCATTGAGATAGACATAAGCCTAGTTTTAGTTTTTGGCATGTGGATTTAAACATTTTAACAAAGTTAACTTAAATTTTTTGTTGTGTATTAAAGCAACTTTAAGAAAAGTTGAAGTTGCAGATTTTGATGAGCAGAAATCTCCTTTGGAAACACCATCACCTCGCAGGTTTGCTCCTGTACCTGTTTCAAGGGATGGCGAAATATCAAAGAGGGAAAATCCCATAGAAGAAAAAGAAAATGTGCAAAAGTCAGATCATAGAGGTAAGAAAGCAATTATAACTATACCCATGTTGTGCTACTCCTATTTCAGAAATTGTCCTGAGATCTTATTCACACTTTGAAATTCTCTATATGCCTAGTGGAAAACTGGTATCTGTTTTCAATACTTTTCTCATATTATGCTTACTGGGCAAACCAAGGTTCTTTAGTTCTCTGTAGGAGTTAACAGTATGCATTCATAATTATTCTGTCCTTGTAAGTTAGTTCTAAGCCTTTAATGAAGAAGTTTTATTTTTAATAAACATTGCTTTACTAAAGGTAAGGCTGAACATTTTTAGAGCATGTTTCCTTATATTGTTTTTAGATGTGAATTTCAGTAGTAAGTCTCAAGGAAATTAACATTTGTCACTGTTCAGCTGAAAAACCTGCTGATGTATGAACTTTTAATAGAGATTAAAAACTTTTATAACTGATCTGAAATAGTAGCAGAGCTTTAAAGTATAGCCCTTCTAGTAAAAAGTGAGACATGCTAAGCTGTAGACTTTTGTTCTTAGAATCATTTAAATGTATTGAAATCTTACTTGAAGCAAGTTTTAACAGTTTAGCAGATAACTTTTTAATAAAAGAAACCCCCAAATTATATAAAATTATTAAAATTTAGAAAAGATTATGTAAAATCAAGTCTGATAGGGAAATCCAATTAAAGATTGCTGTGAAGGAACAGATTTCTTTTTCTTTTCTTTTTGAAACAGGGTCTCACTGTGCAGCTCACCCTGGCCTTGAGCTCACTTTTTAGCTTAGGCTGGTCTCAAACTCACAACTATCCTCCTGCCTCAGCCTCCTGAGTGCTGGAATTACAGGCGTGTGCCAACACACCTGGCTAGGAACAGATTCCTTGTTTTTTTAATTTATAACAATAGTCCATTTTGTCGAGCTTTAGGATGATGGCACTTTTGTGATGGAGATAAATTTAGGTCTCTTTTCTTTCTTTTTTTTTTAAATGAAGTTAGGACAAGGTATAGAGTCTCACTATGTAGGTCAGAGTCGTAGTGATTTTCCTGTTTTCAGCCTCCCAGATGCTAGGATTGCTGGTGTGAGCCACCATCCACAGTCTCAGTTGCCATCGCAGTGTGCCCCAGGGGCGGGGCCAACAGAGCAGGCTGGGGATTGAACCCTGGCTACTGCGCCCTGCCAAAGCAGATGCTTTAGTCTGCTGAGCTATCTGGCCGGCACTAAATTTACGTTTCTTATACAGAGATTTCAAACCTGTAATGCTCCTATCATGTGTAGTGTTTAGTTTTATTGGTGAGTGTATTTATAGTTTACGTTGTTGTGTTGGTCTTCTTTCTGTTCTGTAAGGAAATCCCATAGCTTGGGTATTTAAAAAGAAAGAATTTCTTTAGCTCGTGATTCTGGAAATCCAGGGGCTCAGTGCTGGCATCTTCTTAGCTTGCCTCGTGACCTGGGGCAGGGCATTGCAGGGGGAGAAAGTGCGTCTCCAAGAGCTTGGTTTTGTGAGAGGAGAGGGGTACTCACTGGATAACTCAGTTTATATGGTTTGAGTCTACATTGTCCCCCACATGCTGAGGCGTTCTGAGATGACTGCGTCAGAGAGAGGCTCTGGCTGACTCTTAGCAGGTGGGGGCTGGAAAATGACACGGGTGGGCGTGTCCTTGTCCCCAGCTCTTCCCTGCACTGTCTCTGCCCTCTGGCTCCCCAGTGGAGCACCTTTCCCTCTGCCGGCCCCTCTGCTGTTCTGTTCCTGCCTCGGAGCCTGGGGACATGGTCTGGCAGCACAAGCACAGTAGACATCTCCTGTAAACTGGGGGTACTGGGCACCCTCAGCAGTGGCAGAGTGCCTGCTGAGGGGCTGGATCCTTCGGGCCTGCTTGCCTCCATGGGGTCCTGCCTCCCCAGTACTATCAACATACGACTTTGAGGATCAAGTTTTGAACACATGAAATTTTGGGGACACATGCATGCCATAACAGTTTTAGGGTGAATGGAGTAATCATCCCAAGAAGCTAGTTTAGGCCTAAATACAAGAATATGTGAGAAGTTATATGAAAAGAGAAGTGAATTAATATTGGAAAATACTACATTTCTTTTCTTGTAGGAAACATAAGACTATTAGAACAAATTTTGAATAACAATGGTTCTTCTACGAGGAAAAGTGAATCATCAGACATAACCTCACTAAGTAGGTCAAAAATGGGATGGAATCCTGAGAGAAGAGGCAGGTAAGAACAAGAGAGTTTTAAAAAAAGCAGGACTACCAAGACCTGTGTTGACATTTGTATAGCTTCTTTAGGAATTTAAATAAATTATTACTCTTGAAAATTATCTTTGAGTTGGGTGGGGTAGCATGCATCTGTAATTCCCAGTGCTTAGGAGGCTAAGGCAAGAGGATTGCTTTGAGTTCGAGGCCAGCCTGGACTATAAAGTGAGTTCAAGGCCAGCCTGAACTGCATGGTGAGACCCTGTCTCAAAAAAAAGAAAAGAAAAGAAAATTATCTTTGATTTAGTTACTATTTTTTAATGCTGTTATCTTTTTTCTATAGTAAATAATTACATTAATATTTTAGTTTCTGAAAGTGTTGATTTTTAATAAATGAAATTCTCATAAAATGATATCTGGGATTTGCTATCTAATAATTGGGAAGAGAATAAGTATAGAAGAATAAGGATAGCTGTGACAATAATAGCTGGTATAATTAAATAGTGGTGGTGCATTGTGCTATCTTTTCAGCTTTTGTGTGTTTGAAATTTTGCATATGAAAAAATTTGTAAAATTGAAGTTAGTCTGGGTCATAACAATGTTGCTTCAGTACCATGGAGTCCACAGAAACAAAGGCTAGGAGAGCCACACTTGAGTGATTTCATGTGGAGATATGATGCACTTTTATTTATATTTAGTCTATTGATAAAGTTGGGTTTATGTCTGCCGTGTTCATATGTATTTTCTATATGTTTGAGTTCTTTTTATCTCACTGTTCCACTAGTGACTTCTTTTTTATAAATATTTTCTAATGTACCATTTTAATTCCTTTGCTGTTTCTTTTACCATGTTTTTAAAGTTATTGTATTAGTGGTTGCCCTTCAGATTACAGTTGACATTAATTTAAAACAATCTAGTTCAGATTCATGCCATTTTTATTGCAGTAGTATTCAAACATTTGCCCCAATGTATCTATTTCTTTCTCACCTTCTATTATTGTCGGACAAATTGCATTTTTATATATTATACATCCATCTACATGGCTTGAGAACTATTACTTCATATAGTTACATTTTATTTTTTTTTTAAATTTTATTTATTTATTTATTTGTGTGTGTGTGTGTGTGTGTGTGTGTGCGCGCGCGCATATGTGTGTGGCCAGCTCAGCCCACCAGGGGGCGGGGCTGACTGGCATGTGGTGCTGGGGGATTGAACCGTGGTCCCTGTGCTTTGCTAAACTTGTTCTAAGTAGGTGCTTTAGACCACTGAGACATCTCACCAGCCCATATAGTTACATTTTAGATTAGAGGAACAAAAAAATACACATACTATATGTTACATTTACCTATATACTCAACTTTTCCTAGTACTCTTTATTTCTTCAAATGGATTCAGGTTAGTCTCCTGTCTTTTTAATCTGGTTTTCTTTTGTTTTTTATTATATATATATTTTTTTTTTAGGGAAGGGTCTGCAGTGTGTTCAGTGTCTCACTACTAGATCGGACTTGTAGTGATCTACCTGTTTACAGCCTCCTAAGAGCTGGGATAACAGGCGCGTTACCACGCCCAGTCTCAATTGCCATCTCAGTATGCCCCGGGGGCTTTAATCCACTCAGCTATTTGGCTGGCCCTTTAATCTGTTTTAAGAATTCTTTTTTCACCAGTTTATTCAGCCATTTCCCCTGTTTTGGTCTTTGGTAATTCGAATAATATCACTTTAAAGCTTTGTGGACATACTGTTTCTTGTTTGTGGAAGTATACTTGCAAAGTAGATTTTAGAAGTAGCTAGTGAGCTTAAAAGTAAATCTGCAGTCTCTCCATGTTTATGTGAGAGCCAGTTTCTATACCATCTTTACTTCTTGTCAAGCTTCTGTATTTTGCCAATCTGATGGATCAGAGATGTTGGGTCAATGAAAGTTTATTTTTTATGTATTTGGTATGAGGTCTCACTATGCAGCTTAGACTCCTAGTGATCCTCCTGTTTTCAGCCTCCCCAGTGCTGGGTTTACAGGCATGCGCTACCATGCCTGGGGTTGGTCGCTGGCTCAGCATGCAGTACCAGGGACCCAACCCAGTCCCTCTGTGCTTGCCTAAGCGGGCGTTTAGTCCGCTGAGCTATTCAGTGAAAGCTTAATTTGCTTGATCCTTAGCGCCGGCCTCACATCCAGGCTCACTGAGTTGCCTGTAATCACAGCACTGGGGAGGCATAATAAAAGGATCGCTATGAGTCCAAGTGAGACCCTGTACAAAATACAGGAAAAAAAAAGTTTAATTTGCGTTTTTCCTGACATAAAAACTTCTTGGAAGATGTTTTGGGGCTCCTTGCATTTCCCCCCATAAATGACTTATGTCCATTTCCTGTTGACTGTCATCCTTTTAATTGTAGCTTTTCTTCACCAAATAGTGCATATTTCTGATTATCTTGTTGGTTACTTGGGGCCTAGTGGCCTGATCATTAGGTCTGGAGAATCTCTCTTTTGAATTTCTAATAGGTTAGTCCACTAGGTTTGAATTCTCTCAGTTTTTTGTTTGCCTTTAATTTTTCCTTCAAATTTTTTTTTTTTCTTGAACAGAAATTTATTTTTAGGGCTGGGGAGATAGTTTAGCAGTCTAAGTGCCTGTGTGGCAAGCACAAGGACCCAGTTTGATCCCTGATAAAGCATACCCTGCCGGCCCTGGAATCCCAGGCGCACATGCTGGCAGTGCTGGGGAGGCTAAGACAGGAGGATCACTATGAGTTGAAACTGTGTAGTGTGACTCTGTACCAAATAAATAAATAAATAAATAAAAGAAATATAAAAAATTATTTTCTGAAGCTCAAGGTTAAGGAGCTACCAGGTTTGATTTTTTTTTATAAAGCCTTTCTCCTTGCTTCCAAATGGATCCCCTCTTTGGTCACACAGTCATCTCTGTGCATATGTGCCTCCAGGGTCTTCTTCACTTTTTAAAAATTTAAGCTTATTGGTACATTTTAGGTATACATAATGATCACATTCATCCTAGAGAATTTGTACCTGTACATGATATAAATTGATCCCCCCAATTCCCCTGCATTCCCTTCAACACTTCTTACTTCATTTTGGAAGGACAGTTTTGCCAGGAACAGAATTTCTGATTTTTTTTTTTTTTTTTTCTTTCAACACTTTGTATCATTTTACTGCTTTCTGGACTCTAGTTACTGATGAGAAGCCAACTCTTAATCCTATTGAAGGCCTTTCATATACGAAGAGTCATTTTTCTTTCTCTATGAAGAGATTCTCTGGTTTAGGCTTTTGACATTTTGACTATGATGTGATTAAGTGTAGATATCTTTGAATTATCCCACTTACCGTTTGTTGAGCTTCTTAAATGAGTAGATTGATTTTCATTATATTTAGGAAATTTTGCTTCCATTTGATTTTCTTTTTTATGATGAGGGGGCTATGCATGGTTCCAAGCCTGGCCTTCAAATTGTGTTCCTTTTGCCTTTGCCTCCCTAGTCGCTGAGACAACAGGTAGGAATCATCATACTTTCCTTATTTATTTTTTTATATAAGGAGGTACTGTGGATGACCTTTCTCTATGTCTGTCTAGGACTGCACTGTATGTTGGAATGCTCGATGGTGTTCTGTAGGTCTCTGAGATTCTGTTCATTTCATTTTTTCCATTTCTCAGACTAGATAATAGTGATTAACTTATCTTTTAAGTTTTTTTTGCCACCTCAAATGTTCTGTTGAGATCTTATAGTAATTTTTTTCTTTTTGTGGTACTGAGGATTGAACCCAGAGCCTTTACAGTGAGTTCCATATCAGTCTACATCAAATCTTTTTTATTTTCAGATACAAACTTAAGAATCGATTTGGCCCGGCATGGTGGCACGTGCCTGCAATCTCAGCACTTGAAGGGCTGAGGCAGGAACATCGCTGCAAGTTCTAGCCCAGCTGGGTGATGTAGTAATTTCAGCGCCAGCCAGGACTACATAGTGAGACTTAGTCTCAAACAAACAAATCCAAAATGCTTACTGAATTCATAATAATTTTGGAAACATTTTTCTGCAGCTTTGAAACTCTGACTTCTCAAAGATTTCCTTCTCCTGAAGAGCGAGGAACAGCTAAAGAGAGCATGCAGAAGCATAATGATGTTCTTCATGATTGTGGCCAAAAGAAGAAAGAGATCAGCGGTGTGCTCCAGGTAAAGCAAGAGTAGCGCCAACACTGATATTAGCACGATGATACTGATGAGGCAGTAAGAATTTATTGGGACAGACGTCAGGCAAGATGGAACTAAAACACTGAAAGTCTGCTGACTCTGTTTATTTTACAAAAATCTGTCAAAACCCTTTACCCCTGCATTTTCCTTACTCCTCATTTGCCCTGTCTGAGGCACATGGCCACCTCTGGTTCTCTAGCTTCTGCTGGGAAGAAAGGAAGGGAGAAAGGGCCTCAGGGCCCAGTGAGTGTGTGCTGTGCAGCTCGGGAGCAGTTGGCGCTTACTGTGTTTAGCCTCCTCTGGCAGTAGCACGCTCATTAGCACTGGATGAGCGAGTGCTCCCACTAGTTCCCCATCTCTGTCTGCTTAATATTCATGTTAGTATCCCCTCACCCCCCAGCTGTGCTCAGCTACATCCTTGCCCTTTTTTATTTTGAGACAATCTTACTAAGTCACCAAGTTGCCTGGGATGAGCTTGAATTTGTGGTCTTCCTACCTCAGCCTTCTAGAGTGCTGGGATTACAGGTGTGTACCACCACACCAGGCTCATGTTGGTACTTCTAAATGAGAAAGCACTAATTGCCAAATATTTGTTTGCAGTTTGTCACTTTGACAAATTGTTTCACATATATTGGCAGAGTGTTGGGTCCAACAAGAGTAATGTTTGGGTTAAAATAGTATGGATTTAACATGGTAACTTTGGTTTTTTAAACCAAAAGAGTCTCTGATGTTGATCTTGCTGATTTCCCATAGAATTCTAGTAAACTTCAAACAACCAATACAACGAGATCTGTACTAAAAGATGCTGAGAAAATTTTGAGAGGTGTACAAAACAATAAAAAGGTCCTTGAAGAAAACCTGGAAGCTATTATTCGAGCAAAGGATGGAGCTGCTGTGTATTCATTTATCAATGCTTTATCTACTAATAGGTAAGAAATGATGCTGGCTTCCCCAGGTGGTTTACAAAACTGTCAGTTCTACTTTTGTCATGTTGTGAACCACTTCACCTTCATTAATATGTGTTAATATTTAGTAAAGTTTCTTCATTGACTTTGATTTTTTT